AAGGTAAAATCCTAGGAGAAGGAAGGTAAAATCCTTGGAGAAGGCACGCACAAAACGAGGATCAGGACCAAGTTAATATCAACATGACAAACCAAACATGAAATACAATTGCCAAACTACAAACACAGCAACTCACCAAATTTGCCCCAGCATGGCCCTGCATAACTCGTTTCCAGTGATCTCGAGAATCAAGTCCTTGATCTTGAGGTTCAGAACCAATGGCAGTGGGATACAATAATAACTCAGCACCTTGCAGAACCATAGCCCGGGCTGCCTCTGGAAACCACTGGTCCCAGCATATTGCTGGCATTATAAAAAAAAAACCCACCATCTGCTTCAATTTTTCCATTTTGTAATTCCTCTATAGGAAAAATGACAAATAGAAATGGCTCTGCAACACGTTTTGGATAACCAGCTAACTGGACATTTTGACTTAATAACATCACCAGCATGGCCAAAAATTTGAATCAAAAGAAACCACAGTATCTAGTAAATATGACCAGAAGAAAGGGTGAAAAAAAGGGGAATGTCTCGTACCTATTCCAATCTTTGCAAATTTAGTTTCGAAAACCTGTTTGATAGTGAAATAAGTAACCTATTTAATACAAAAGGAATGCAGATTTAATAGGTTCCAGAAAAATACTAAACTTAAAAAGAGAACATCCAACAACCAACCCTAAAGCCAGTGTCGCCTGGATTAAAGTAGAATTTTTCCTGGTAACCTGAAGTCAAAAGCAAACAGCAACGGTTGTATAAGAAACCATATATGAAGCATACAGATTCAAGCAATAAAAAATGTTCAGCTTTTCATATACCTGGTCCATCTGGAATATGAGATTTTCTATAGAGCCCAAGGTCAGACCCATCAGCATCAATCATGGCTATGGAATTGTAATGGGCATTGTTTGCCTCTTCAAAGAAGCTAACTGGTATGACTACACCCAGCTCTTTTGCCAGTTTTTGCATACTATAGAATGCACACACAAAGTAAATTAATTCATACTGAAATGTATCTGGAAGTACAAGCTTAACTTCTTTTCCTTTATTAGGAGTTAGGACAACAGCCATGGCAACAATAAATACAGCTTGCAAAGTAATTTAAGAAGCTAATTGGTTTTGATCCAGAAGGAGACACCCCACTTCATAGTCCTAGGTTCAAGATGGGAATGGAAGATGTTATGGGGTGGAGGAATGCTAGCAGGGTTGTGTAGCACAAAGCTCAGTTGACCACCAAATAAAACAGAGGAAAAAATGTTTTCTGCTCCATCTACCTCAGAATTGTAGGATGGCCCTTGTAAGGCTTAGCTCGCTGGAAAAAGTCTTCTCTTTGAGCTTGACAGAAGTAATATCCCTCAAATAGTTCCTGGAAGTGAGAGTCATAAAGTTTAGAGTTTAAACAACATGGAAATGCATATATTTGAACTCAGATTTTGAAAAATCCTACAATTATGGAATCTCTTCAATTAATAATATACACAGGCCAGAGCATGTAAAGAAACCTATCTTTATTCACATTGCTTCTAATCATCACCCCACCTCAAAATAGACCACCAAATAAATCTGTAACCGCTGCTCATGCAATAGCATGATACGCATTTTTACCACCAGCAAAGACTAGTCTGTATTGACTTATACTATCATGATCCTACATTAACAACATAGACAATGTTTATATGTTTAGAATGAGCCCTTCTCTCAATTTTTTTAGTACGTTGGACCAACCTATTCATAGTCACTTTCTTTTTCCAGAAAGACCAAGCTTTAGTAATTTCATCAGCAGTTCGTGAGTCTAGCTTTCCACTTAAAAGACATAGACATGCAACAATTAAAAAACTCCATAACACCACCATTACAAGCACTAGGTATCTTAGACTGTCTGTCCTAGGGTGGCTAACCATCCCCTTCCACCTATTTTCGATCATAGCCACAGTAAGTTATCACCTGAGCAGGCAAGCACAACCAATTCCAAATGCTGGTTCGCCTTCAGCTTATAGTTTAACTGTAAACTATCTTCATAAGCACAAAAGCCTTAGACTTAAACTCCTTCCCTCATCAAAACAACTGATAACTTCCAAATTTCACAACTTGGCAACAACTTCATTGCATTTCTTATAGAATACCGCAACAAGAGACTAATCTCTCGGAAGTGACAAGAAAACTGCTAAAATACTAGATATTTCATTTAAGCAGTGATGGGAATATTTCATTTCATTTACTCTTATAAGTTGTAGCTTCAAATTTAGCAAACAGATTGTCACCGTAACCTCCATACCTGAATGAGAATGATGTTTGATCCCTTCTTGTGAGCAGCTCTAACCAACCTGAACAGAAGAGGATTAATCAGATTCAGTGAAAACCAAGATGGGGTTATTAATTTTAGAAAAATAAAGCAGAAAAGTTTTTAGCAGATGGGAATTAACAAAACCATTTGATGGGTGAAAAAATTCCTTGTAAGTTATAAAAAAAATCAGAACTTGAGCTACTTTGAAATCATACATAAAAGAAATGAAAACGTATGAAAGAAAGAAGCAGGAGTAGGAAGACCTTTCAGCGGTGGCGAGATTAGCTGCGACATCATCTGTACAAGCAAATTGGAGAGCGGAGACCACCACCACTCTTCCTTCCCCCTTCTCCATTTCCTTTCTTTATTCTTCTATGGATTGCTTCTTTGTTTTTTCTTTTCTTTTTCCTTCCTTCCAGTTCAGAGCCTAGAAGACGCCGAGGGCGGAAGGGTCTGTGGCCGCTAAAACTTCCGTTAAGATCAGTGGATAAAAATCATTGCGGTCCCTAAACTATTCTTATTTGGTCAAATTGAACCTTGTAAATTATTTAGTAAGAGCCATTGTCCAATGAGGTACTTCATCCTCCAAGTAAAAACTTATCCTAATAATTACACATTTCTATCATTGATAACATATTTCATTTTCTAGATAAATACAAGAAGATTTTTTAAGAGAATTATGAAAAAATTTATTTAAAGTAATAATTATTTCTTAATAATTTTCAAGAAATATATATTTAAGAATAAATATTTTAAAAGTAGTAGTATTCATTTGTGATGATGCTTCAAAATCCAGAATGTTAGGGAAATTACTTCTTACCATGTTTGGATGATAGATGGTCACGTGTTTATGTTCATCTTCTATGTCCATTTTCTGTTTTTTATAACTAAAAATTCTAGGGGTTAGTGATAGAGAGTGTATTTTCTATAAAACAATCTTTTTTTTTTAATTTAAGGACATTTTAATAATTAAGTTAGTACCTTTATTATAAAAAATTATAGTAAATAAGAATTAAATTTTAAGAATAAGAAAATTTATCCTTAATTTATGTATAATAAATACTGAAAATGAGTTATAACAAAGTGAAAATAATAAGTCTCTTTTCTGGATTGAGAATATTTATAATCTTGAATTTTTCTTTTTTCCTACTCGAAGAGCCATAGTTGTTGGTATTTTCCTTCTTCACATTCAAATGGGAGGAAGACCTTTACAATCAAAATTAATATTGATTGTAGGTGTTTCATTATATGGCATTAATTGTTAATGAGAGTATCATGTGCCTATATAAAAACGTTACTACATCAATATACATATGATATGACCATAGATTCTCTTAACGATATTAATATTGATTGACATATGAATGGTTTTTAGAAGATTTTTTGCACAATTAGGATATAAAGAGATGATAACCTTGAATTTTCACCCTAGGTGCTTGTGTTAGGAGGAATCCTTAGATCAAAAGAACATTGATTCTAGTACATAGTCGAGGCTAAGAGGGTTGGATTAAGCATCTCGCCAAACTTGTAAGCATTTGGGCCTGACATGCAGTCGAGCCCTAGGGGGTTGAGTTCGGCATCTCACTAGACTCATAGGTGTTTGGGCTTGACATCTAAATGAGTCTGAGAGGGTTAGATGTGACATTTCACCAGACTTACAAAAGCTTAGGCTTGGCGTGCAACCAATCTTAAAGGTGTTGGGTTTAATATCTCGTCAAATTTATAGGTGCTTGACTTTGACATCTAACTAAGCCGAAGAAAGATGAGTGTGGCATCTCCCCGCACTCGTAGGTGCTTGATCTTGGCACATAATCAAGCTCAAAAAGATTAGGTTTAAAATCTTGTCAAATCTATTAAAATATGAGCTCGACATGTAGCCAAGCCCACAAAAAATTAAGTTTGATATTTTGTCAAACTCCCATGCAATAAATCTTAATTTTTGCTATTGTTAAACCCATTATAGCTTGAGCTTAGTGTGTAGCCAAGCCAAAAAAAAATTGAGTTTAATATTTTGCTAGACTCTCATATAATGAATTTTGATTTTTGCTGAGTTTTTATAATGAATTTTTTTTTTGTCCCTATATAGTTATGTCATTTATAAAAAAAAAGTTTTTAATATGAAATGCATCAATCCATCAATTTGTCATTTTGAATTTGGGAACTAAACATTACTTTTAAGATGAAAAAAAAATACAATAAAGCTATATTAGTTAAGATTTAGCTGGTTATTTACAAAATTATTTGACATTTTAAGCATTACATAATAAAATAAATAAAGAGTTCTATTTCTTACATAATAAAATAATAAAAATTTATTCAATACATGAAAATTTATACTTCCCTCCCTTCATCTCATAAAATTAACGATTTTATAACAATTTTAGTTACCTAATAATTTCTCATTTAGTTATAAAAACTCCTTTTTAATTATTAGATAAGACATTAGAAAAAAAAGTTAACAGGCAATTAGGATCAAAGTACCATTATATAATTCTCAAAATAAAGAGGACTGAATTGAATGAATAAAAAAAACTACATTACTAAATAAACAACTTAACTAAGTTCAATAATCTCCTTTCTGGACAGAGATTAGGTCTCTCCGGTCCCACTCTTTGAAAAAATACGCACCAACGTAGGACTGTTACGCTTGTAAGGGTAAACTCGTACTTTTAAATGTAACTGTCAGATTCTCATTCTTCAGCTAAGAGAACAAAATTCAACCAACCCAGAAAGAAAGATTCCATTTTTTCCCTCCAAAGTTACCAGATCACTGGATTTCCAATTCTCCGATACTGTTTTCCGGTGCCTTCGTCGGAGACTAAAAATCTCCGATCACAAAAATAGGCCCCAGACCTATCCCTAGGTAGGACAAAAATGAAGAAGAATGAGTTGCAGCTAAGACAACCACAGCAGAAAAGGCCACCAAGGCCTCCACTTCCCACGGCGCTTGGATTTGGAGGAGACGAAGACGATGACGTGGAGAAGGATGTTACACTTCAGGCTGCTAAGAACAAATCTCTCAAAGGTGTAAACCCTTTTCGATCACTGCTTCTTTTTTTTTTAATTTTTTTTTTTGTTTTCAAGATTGAAGAGCAGCAGAAGAAAGCGTTCGAAGAGGACCCAACAATGTTTTATTATGATGGAGTTCATGACGAATGAAGCAGAAAATTGTTCAGCCAAAAGCCCTAGATCGCGAAAAGAGAGAGGTATTTTGATGGTATTAACAAAGAGTTTGTTAGGCACTTCTGGCGTCTTGCTCCCTGTAGGTGTGGTTATCATGGTAGGTATCACTTACAAGGGAGCAATGCATCTGGAATATCTACTTGATAGTTTTGAAGGGGAGAAATGAGTGATGAATATGTTGGTTTTGTGTTTCAGTCTAAAAATATAAAGACTTCAATGGAACGACAACGACAGCATGATAATGCTTTTGAGAAAAATCTTGCTACAGAGAGAAGTAGAGATGATCAACTTTATGCCGACAAGGATAAGTTTGTTACAGCTGCTTATAAGAGGAAACTTGCAGAGCAGGAGAAATGGATGGAGGAAGAGCG